CCTGCGTCTCACACTGTAACCAACAAACTTACACATGCAATAGTGTTGACCTGTGCATGGCTCACATAGACCTGGATTAATGCAATGTCTGTTCATTTCACTTACTTCAGATTCAGTTGCTGAAATGGTTTAGTAAATGGAGTGTTTACGGACAGCGAAGATGTGTGCATACGTACTGTGTGTTTTATTAAAAAAGAAGTTTCATATTGAACTTTTAAACTAACCAAAAAAGAAGTGGGATTCTTCATTCCCTGTTTTTTTCAGTTGTTTCTAATCATGGACAGAAGCGTCCCTCAAACAACAGGAAGGGCTGGAACAAAAGCAAGAAGTAAAGGCGGGGAAGGGAAATAGTTTATTGCCTTTACGTTTCCTCTTCTTTCCAGTGGCAAGCGACCGAGGGATATCATCGTCTGTTTTGTCGCTCGTAGAAGTTTGAACCATACATTTTTGTTTCTGTTTTTTTAATGCGTAATAGAATCAGCATGGAGGGAAAAGGAAGAGCATCCACAGATTATAATTAGAGCTGTAGTCTGTGTAAGTATGTACTCCTTCCTAAAGGCACTAGTACAGGACTTTGTGTGTTTTGTTTTTACGTGTGCATCTGCTTTCTGCCTGACTCTGGGTGTGTTGGGTGTATACGTATTCATGCACACATACAGCACTTGTGTCTTTTGCTGTGCATGCAACAACTCACACCTCCCACTACCACACTGACCCCCCTGCTTCCTCTTTCCTTCTGCAGGTCTGTATGAGCTGCTGGCGGCCCTGCCATCCCAGCTGCAGCCTCATGTCAACTGCTCTGAGGACAACACCTTCCTTCAGGATATGTTTGGAGAGAGAAGTCTCCACTCACTTGTTAAGGTACAACAAACAAATAGAGTTATAGGAATTTCGCCTACATATTTTTCAGAAAATCATGTGTTGTTTAACTCATATATGCATGCACTGATTACTCTTAAATACACTTTAAATGCTTAAGTAATTTCATTTAAGTGCTATACATATGAATACGTCAGTTTAACCAAGCCTAGCTTTAATTGCACATGTAGATTGTGTACAAAGTTTATTGCCAAGAAGGCAGACAACGAAATTAGTCACATAAAAAGTCTTGAAAAGAGGAGCCCCCGGCCTCCAAAGCAATTATTATTCATGAATTACAGTCCTATTGCCCTATCTACCTGCCCAGATCTTCTAATTCCTTCCTCTACCAGCAGGAAAGGGCCTGTGGTTTGGTTACTGCCTGTTAAACTAGATAGCTGCAGAGATTGGGGAGAAGGTTTGTCTGAAATCTTTCTCTGATTTTTGTTGTTAAATAGAGAACAATTTTCCCCCCTAAACATGGGGTAGTTTCCTGCAAATCAGCTTTCCATTCTTTATTATTCAGTAAATAAATGTAATAGCTGCTCGACTG